GTAAAAAATTCACAGTCCACGAGACTTCGGTTAAGGTATTTACCAAAATGGCCGCCACTGGCTCAAACCCGTTCAAATTCAAAACGTATCAACTCCGAATTTCCGTTCACTTTTCACTTTTTTTTTTTTAAATTTATTAATTATTAACGGTTTAATTAATTAATCCGAATAACAAAAAAAAAATAATAATAATAATAAATTTTAATAAAAACTTACTATTATTATTATTATTATTATTATTTTAATTAATTAATTTTTTTTTTTACTTCCCTTCCCTCCCCTCCATTCACTCTCGTTGAGAATTCAAAAACGTTCGCGAATAAAATTAGTTGTTTAAAATTTCCGCCAGGTTTTCTGCTTCTTCCTAATGACACGATTTGTTTATTTACTCTATTGAAAACCTACGCGCTCCTTCGTTAAATTTAAACGTTTTGTTTATTATAAATGAAAATTTATTATTTTTATTATTATTATTTTATCATTGAATACATACCGATAATAATAATAATAATAACAACAATGATAATAATAATGATATTAATAATAATAATAATAATAATAATAATTTTTGTTCTTTTTTTCTTTTTCTAGAAAAATTTAAAAATAGAAAAAAAATTTAACCGCATACAAAATTGATTTTCTATTATTAATTATTCATTATTCATGATTGGAAGTAGAAGAGAGAGAGAGAGAGAGAGAGAGAGATAAATAGCATTAAAAATTTATCGATTAATAATAACGTTTTGTGACGTCATCATCACTTATTAATAATGGCTACGGCGTGATGTTTATTTTCTTTCCCCCCCCTCCCCCCTCCTCCTTCCCATAATTTTCCGTTAAAATTTAAATTTAGATTCGCAAAATTGTTTGGTTTTGTCGTAAATCAAATTCGAAAGTAAAAAAAAAAAAAAAAAAAAAAAAAAACAAAAAATTTTTTTCCTTTTATCTTACGGAGTCTGATATGATTATTAATACACACGCACACACACACACACATACTTGAGTGTCTACTGCCACGATTACGTAATTAGAATTACATAAACCTATTTAATTGAACTTTATTATTATTATTATTATTATTATTATTATTAATAACTGACTCGTTATCACTTCGTACGTATGTTTAATTACGATTTTCACCAAAAAAAAAAAAAAAAAAAAACGTGTCATCAAGTAAAAATTTTTTGTCTTCTGCCCCGAAAAAAAAAAAAAAAATTTCCACGTTTGAATCGAATTCAAAAATTAATAATAATAATAATAATTAACAAGTTCGTTTTTCACGTAAGTTTAAACCCGATTACAGAAAAAAAAAGAAAATTATTATTTTTAACGTGGTTTTAGACTATTGATTATTATTATTATTATTATTATTATTATTATTATTATTATTATTGAATAACGTAATATTCGTGATAATTTTTCCTTTTTTATATTTGGATTTATTTTCATTTTACATTATCGACGATTGATTTGATGAACACGAAACGATTGATTGATCTATCACGTTATACGGATAGCAAAAATTGTAACCATAACGACAGCAAAAAAAAAAAAAAAAAAAAAATTAACACGTTCGAGTCGTTGAGTAAAAACAAATTTTCTAAACGAGAGAGAGTTTTTTATTAATTTAATAATTACGAATCGTAAATAAAAAAAAAAAAAAAAAATATACAAAACAACAACAGCAACAGCAACGGTTTATCATTATTATCATCATTATTATTATTATTATTATCTTAAAAAAGTAAGTTTTTTTTTCTTGAATATTTTGTCAAATATAATTACGTTTGTGCAATATAGTGTCAGGCACGTTTTTTTTTTTTCTTTTTCTTTTTATCTTCTCACTCTCCTTTACGTTTAAGTTTAACTTCCCCCCATTTTTTTAGCTTATTATAAAAAAAAAAACAAAAAAAAAAAACAAAAAAATTTTAATAATAATAATAATAATAATAATATTAATAATAAAATGTGGAAAGTTTTTTTTTTGTATTCATACGCGCGTTAATTTCGAAATTAAATTTCCGCTATTTTTTTTTTTTTGTTAACTCGGGAGAATGTATTTCGCACTACTAACCTCCCCACTCGGTAGCAGGGAGAGTGTGGGGGTCTCTGTCGGAACCACTACTCAACTAAAACTCCTGGATGTGTTTAACCTTTCCCGCGGGAGTACAACCTGAACTTCAGCCTCAACCCCTTCCTGAGCTAGAAACATCAGGTCCACACTCGCGAAAGTGGGAATCCCCCCCCCCCCCGAAGAAGATCCCGATACTTCCTTTTTTTACCCTTTGAGAGACAATCCCGATCTGTTATCATCGTTCCTGCCTTGTCAGCAAAGTCTGTGAGTTTCCGGAGAGAGAGAGAGAGAGAGAGAGAGAAAGAGATGCGTCACGAATTCCATTGTTCGTTCATATCTGTCTCTTTACACGTCCGCATTTTCCCAAACTCACCCTCTCGAACAAGCCCCAGCTCATCCAATACCTTAAAAGGTTCTAAATCACTTATCCTCTTACGTATGTACAGGTTTGAACAAGCAGAAATTAAACTTCTCTTTCACTCGCAGGATTTGAACCCACGACTCTGAACTCGGTGACTTTTTGACCGATTTTTCCCTCGTTTAAACTCAACTTAGCTACCTTTGAGCTCTCCCAAGGGATCCAAATTGAAGGTTTACCCCTAGCGGACGTTTTGTCAACGTCGGAAATCCAATCCCCCCAACCCCCACCCTTAAACATCCTTTACACGTAAGATCCGAGTAAATGGAATATAAGGCTACACCACCACTCCCGCCATAATGAAATTTTTTTCACATGCGGAGGATTTTTTTTTTTTACTTTCCTCCCCACTAAAAAAAAATTAATTTAACCCCTTCGCCCCCCTCGATTTATTAATAATAATAATAATAATTTAATTTGGATTAATATTAAATTATGACCGTAAAAAATTTAATTTCGTTACGTCTTCAAAAGCGCGGATTAAAATTCAATTTTAACGGTCCATTTTTTTTTTTTTTTAATGGATTCATCACGTTCTCTCATTATAATTACTTAACGAATCTCTAATTAATTAAATATTCGTGCTCGATATTTATAATCGTAATTAGTTATTAGTGCATCATTATCATTATCATTTTTTTTTTGTTCGGAAAAATCTAAAATTTATTACGCAGGGAAAACGAATAAATGAAGAATTAAATGTAAAATTTCAAATTTGTGAGTGTGTGTGTGTGTAAAATGATCTTGATCAAATTTTATCCCCCCATTCATTTTTAATTAATTCTAAAACGAATTGATTGGGGGGAGGGGAAATTAAATTGCAAAACGATGACGTCAAATATTTAAAATGGACGTCGAATGGACGTTTTTGTTTTTCTCACACACACACACACACATAAACGCGTTCAATTTTTTTTTTTTTTTTTTCCCCCCCCCCCTACCCCCCTTCTAGAAAAATTGAATTCCGTTTTAATTTAAATAAATTATTATTATTATTATTTTTATAAACAAAACGAAAATTGTTAATTTTATTCCCGGTACAAAAAAAAAAAAAAAAAAAAATGGGAAATTTTTTTTTTCGTTTTTCAGAAATTGATAAAAAAAAAAAACAAATTCGTTTGGGTAAATATTTATCAAGTGATAAAAGAATTATTAAAAAGAAAAAAAAATGGCGGCGCGTTATCAATTTACCTTTGATAATAATAATAATAATAATAATAATAATAATAATAATAAATTATCATTCTTGTTGACTTTTTTATTTATTTTTAATTATAAATTGATTTCGCGTTTATTTATTTTTTTTTCTTTCGAATTTTCCATTATTATTATTATTATTATTATTATTATTATTATCATCATTTTTTTAAAAAAAATTTTCCAATTTGTAGCGATTCATAAAATTACTAATAATAATAATAATAATAGAAATAATAATAATAATAATGGAAACCTTAAAAAAAAAGAAAAAAATGTTTCAAACTTTTTGCAGCGCTCATACGTAATACAAATTGCCTAAACGTAATTTTTCAGGGAGGGAGGAAAAAGAAAAGGATTTTCTACGACAAAATATTTTTATGATGGAATTTCTTCCATTACATATATATATATATATATATATATATATATATATATATATATATATATATATAATTAATTTTGTTTAAAAACTAAAGAAAAAAAATGTCGAATAAAGTAGCTTTTGCCCTCTTCATAATCATTTTGTAATATATATATATATATATTTAGAAAAAAACCTCAAACCTCAAAAAATCAAAAACGCGATTTCATTATTATTATTATTATTATTATTAATATCGATTCGTACTACTTTACATGTTATATTTTATTACAATGTTAGTAAACGATACCTTTTGGTTTTAATAAAAACATAAAATGTTTACGTAGGGATTTGTCTAAACACGTAACATAACGTTTACGATGTGAATAAGAGTATAACTTACCAAATTTATTATTATTATTATTATTAATAAAATACTATCAATGACGTTGCAAATTTATAAAAAAATATGTCATCATCATTCATTCATCGATCGATTGGAAAATAAAAAAAGAAAAAAAACGATTAAAAATATAAACTTTTTTCATAAAACAACATAAACACGAACCGTAAACATAAATGACATAACGTAACAATCAAACATAAAAGTCAGTTGTTGTTGTGTTTGTTGTTGATGTTCTTTCTCTTTAAAACATTTTTTATTAACTGATACATTTAAAGTTTTTTGTTGTTGTTGTAGGAAAAAAAAAAAAAAAACTTTCCTTGTCTTTTTCGTGCCTTGTACATTTAAAATTTAAAGAAATAAAAAAAAAAAAAAAAAAAATTGGTTTCGTGTTTGCACGACATGTCTCTTCTCAACTTTTACCAGTTATACCATTCGAATCCCATAGAAAACCCCCCCTCCCCCATCCCCTTTTGGAAAACTTTAAAAAAGAACTCGATTTATTACTTTATGCAGACGTAAAATTACCCTCGTAGTCATGCTAATGTTACACCCCGTGGGTGGAGCGATGCTCCTAAAAAGCTTAGGAACGATTTTAGAAGAAGGAAGAAGGGGTAGCATGCCGCAAGCGCACACACTTTTCCACAAGGTCTACCTTAGGAAACCAGTCAAAAAACGGTTGGCGATAAATGAAAAAAAATCCCCGGCGACTGATTTTTTTTTTAATCATTTTTTGAACCCGTCGGAAATTCTATGGAGTAAAAAATTAAATAAAAAACAAAGGGAAAAATATTTGGTCGCGATGACCGGGGAAGAACAAAAGAGAAAAAAATTACCATCGAATACGAAATTGCAACCGAAATTTGTGGAAAATTTAAAAAAGAAAACGCATTTCACGAGGTGACGTAATCCAATTAAACCCCCCTCCTCCCCGCCCCCCCCAAAACCTTAAATAATAATGTGTGTGTTAATGATTTTTCAGACAGGAAATAAATTCCCTTTGTAAAATTTATCGTAATCTTTTATCGAATGCAAAAAACACGGTGAGCAAAACATCATCTCCAGCAGCCATCGTTTCCAATCCTGGAATGACGCAAACTCAATCAAAAGTCGAGGTTTGTAACATTTTCCTTTTTTAAACCTTTGAGAAGGTGGAAATAAAAAAAGAAAGCGACAAAACATTCACTACTTCCTGTACACGATTTTCTTCTTTCTCCAAACTATTGTTCTTGTTTCCAGGTGATTGACGCGAGTTTTTTCCTTTCTAAATGAAAGTTTTTTCTTTTTCTTTGTTCCAGGGACTGGACAGAATCGTTTTCAGAGAATTGATTCATAACTCATTCGATTTAGTCACAGAAGAAATATTAATCGATAGAATTTTCTCGGCTTTTGATAAGAACAACGATGGAGTCATAAAACTGGAAAATTGGGTGAGTTTTTCTTTCATTCGTGACCTTTTGAACTTTTCCCCATAATTGTTCGTTTGTTTTTCCTTCTTTCTCCTCGTCAGATTTGCGGTTTGTCCATTTTTCTCAGGGGCACTCTGGAGGAACGAGCTTCGTTTTGTTTTTTCGTTTACGACATGAACGCTGACGGTTATATAACCAGAGATGAAATGATGCCACTCCTAAGGTGGTGGTGCTTCACATATCATTATTATTATTAAGTAAATAAGTTTTTTAATGACATTCTTTTTAAAACGCGCAGAAACAGTTTAATGAAATCCCCGCAAGATGAAGATCCGGAAGAAGGTGTTAGAGATCTCGTGGATTTGGCAATGAGAAAAATGGACGGCGACAAAGATGGTAAATTAAGTTATCAGGATTATTTACAAGCCGTCACATCCGAACCTCTCCTTCTGGAAGCTTTCGGTCAATGTTTACCAGCGGATTTAGCATGTCAAGCATTTATCATGACTTTAACCGGTAACAACTGAATGTGGGTTGTTCAACTGGAAATTTTTTTTTTATAATATTATTTAGCCACGACGATCGTAAAATAAATTTTTAATTAAATATGAGTAAACACGTTTAAAAACTTTTATTACACCCCCTCCCCTCCCC